AAGATATGAGAGATCTAATGGCCATCTTTGTGAGGGATAAGGAAGAAAAGTATGAAATAATGGTAAGAGGCTAACCGAATTTTGGGAGGCAGATGACCGGATTTTTGGGGTTGAAACGGATTTCCAGGCGGTTGTTAATGCATTTACCAAATCTCACACGAAAATTCAACGGGCCTTAACTTATCCATTTTACATCGAATTTCATAAATTATTGCATAGAAAATTGTGCTCTACAAGATGATATCCATTTTCATATTTTTAGAGCAAATTTTTTTCAGGTAGTGATGGAATTTCAACCCGCCCCGCGGGTATTACCCGACCTGACCCGCGATGGGGCGGGTATTACCCGACCCGCAGTAGCGTGGGGCGGGTATCTACTTCCGACCCCCCTGTCCCGCCCTAGACTCATTTTATCTCAATTTCTTACAATTTCTATACATATTTCTCCTATTTTGAGTTTTCTTCAACTAGTTAGAGTCGCTCTTTCAACTTGTTAGACTCAATTACCCATTCTATTATCACTATTTTTCATTCGTAAAGTGTTTTTCCCTTCGTTTTATCGTAAAAAGTAAAATTTATCTGAATTTTTTCGTGGTGCGGGGCATGGGAATTGAGGTACCCGCCCCTGCGCGTAATTACGTGGTGCGGGGCATGGGAATTGAGGTACCCGCCCTGCCCCGCCCCATTGCCATCACTATTTTCAGGTCATCATACCACTGTCATCACGATATTACCACTGAAAGTGGTACGATATCATAGTGGTATGATGTTGCTACGATAGAGATATGATGTTGGTATCTAGGAGTCTTCTCCGTTGCCTTGAGGTTCTTTATAGTAATCGCATCTTCTGTCCTGCAGGCCCAAGGTTTTTTGTTCACCAGGAATATTTTTTTATCTCTTCATTATTAGATTCAGATCTGGACTTCCTCTATAATTAGGTACCTCGTGATTTTGGATTTTCTGCTTAATTGCAGTAAATTGATGCGGAGAGATCTCTATTCGAGCAAGGTTAGAAGGGTGGATGAGTTTGAGCCTTTGAGGTGAGGGATTCTTTGTTTTTGGAATTTTAATGGTTGCAAATCTATTCAATTTTGCCTCTATTTTATTATGATTGAGATTGTGGACATTATTCATTTATTTGGTATTAGCTTTTTCCCCCTGTCTACTTGATCCTTTATTTGAAGTAATAGACCAGGCCGGGCCCAGGTCCTGTGCTGGTCAGACCCACAGCACAGGGCCTCATAAGTAATAATCCATTAGACCGGATTTCAGAGGCAGATTCAACTTGGGCTTCGACGTGGGCCTCATAACCGCAGGCAGAGCTGACCCCTTGGGCTGGCAAAGCGGCCCACATAAAAGCACACATGCACAAGAGCATCTTGCCACGTGATGGAGAATCGAACTATGGACCTTCATTTCATTAAAAAGAGGCTCAACCACTTAGCTGAAAGTCATTTGATGAAACAAAATTAACAGTAAGAATGTTTAACGTCTCTCTTCTTCTATTTCCCAAAAAATTTCAACTTTCTGAAACCATACAACGCCTAAATATTAATTATTCACACTCGATTCTAATGAACTTCTAATCAATGTCCATCTCTATTATCCAGGCACTTAATCGACTTATTTTAATTTTTAAGTTCTTTTTTCTTTCTCTTTTGCAGGGAACTTAATATTGATTGGAAATTTGGAATCACTAATCTTTGGTTATAATTTTTAGTTATGTGAACCCAAAATTTTGAAAAAGGTAGTTCTAACCGTAAAAGAAAACAGAGAATTAAGGAGTCTGAATACATGTGATTCGAAAATTATAAGTGAAGCTAAATCATTGGATTGTAAATGTTTAGTAACCGAATTTTTGGGGCGACATTTTAAATTCTTGAACAGGGCCTCCAAATATCATGGGACGGCTCTGTAATAGACGATAGTTGGTTAAAGAGAGATTTCCAGATGTTTGCCAAGGCTAGTGTGGCTGCTTCAGTTTCTTTACTTTGTTAAGCTTTTCTGTGCAGGGGATTTCTTTTGACTGCGATAAAAGAGGAAGACGAACTGTCGCTACCCTGCATAATACTTACGTTTTAAGATCTGGGTGTTACTCTTTTGCTTCTTTTAGACCCTGTTCAAGTTGACCACTGGCTTTGTTTTCCCTTATTCTGACCATGACTCTCCATGATTACTATCCTTGTTCCTTATTTTTATTGTTTGCAGAGATTTAAGAAGGAATCTAAATACGAACATAGTGAGGTTGGTGATGCTTGGTGACAACAAGGAGCAACATTGCCAAGTCGGATGGTAGCAAAACAATGGAAAAGAAACCAATGATAACGAGGAAAGGAGATTGAGCAATAGGATATATGTATTCACTTCCATGTATTTCAAGGAAAATGTACTTCGTTGGTGTACTTGAATTATTAATGAAAATAAATAATCTTTATATTTCTAAACATGATAAGTTGGTGCCAATTGTTTTATAGACAATTGTGCGTGCTTCTTAAATGTAGCAGAAAAGGATATTATCTCCCTCTAAAAGTTAAAACATCAATATAATTATTTATCTCGGAATATACTATTTACACGCAAATATTTATGTTTCCGTAATGTACTGTAGAAGCAAATCTAGTTGTCTCGCAAATTAAAATTACAAACAAATGTAACTCCCTCTAAAAATAAATAAAAATATGTAGTACAATTTTAAATTAAGAATTACCATCAAATATATTTGCTTCCGATTCCACAATTAGTAGCATATATTATTTGCTACTATTTTTTACTCTAAAAGGAATTAGAGACAGAGGCGTCCGATGCAAATAAAGTATCTGCTTCTAAAGATATACAGAAGCAAATGAATGTCATTTCGAGACAAATAAGCTTCGTCTCTAAAACCAAGTTTTGTTGTAGTGATTATTACTATTATTAGGATTTTATTAGATATAGTTAGTAGTTTTTGAGTCATATTAGGATAGTCTATTAGGTTCTCCTAGTCTTTAGCTATAAATATGTCATTTGGGTCTTTTGTTCGTTTAAGCAGAAATCAATAAAAGAATTATCTTCCCAAACCCTAAGCTCTCTCTATCTCCTAATTTTCCTTCTTCCCTAATCCAAGGCTTCGTCCGATTCTTATTCTTTTCTTCTTTCTTCCTCAAATTCTCAATCTCAATCCCCAATCCTATCTCCAAATCTCTAAATTCCCAATTACCCAACATGTGGATTTGACTTGAATCAGACTATCAACCGCTACCAGATTGGATTAGGGTTAGACCTAGGAGAAGTATTGTAAATACTTCTCATACTTCTCTGTAATTTGTATCTCCTTGAATTATAGTGAAACTGGCTTTGTCTTGCCTGTGGACTAGCTAATACATATTGTGTTAGTGAACCACGTAAATTATGTGTCGTGTGTGTGCGTTTTTTTTTTCTTACATTGTAGAATCCTCCTATTTCCCGATCCGCAGAGAAACACTAATGACACAACACTATCGATAGAATCCTAGAAATTGGTTTCTAATAGGCTGGTTTGCGCTTAACACAGATGGTTCCGTGATAGCATCAACAGGAAGTGCTACGGATGGAGGAATTATACGAGGCAACGATGGTCTGTTCATTAAGGCCTCTACAGTTAACTTGGGCAAAGGCTCGATAACACATGCCGAATTGGCCAAGATTGTCCATGGTCTTCACATTACTTGGGAATTGGGTGCATCCAAAGTTTGTCTACTTACTGATTTGATGACGAGGACCTCTATCATATAGTTGGATCGATGTAGCCATCCACACTACACGGCGATTTCATCTATCCGGTGTCTGCTGGCCCAGGATTGGGAACTGCTAATTTTATGACTTTTGTCGGTCATTCTTTACCTATTGAGATTCGCTTGTTGGATATCCCGGTACCTAGTTTGAGATATTGGTTGTTGTTTGATTCGATTGGCGTCCAAACTCCCTGCACTATTAATGGATAAGAGTTAGAGCACTCCTCTACATTCTGTTTCTAAAAACACAATATATTTGCTTCGATCAAAAATCCATTTTTAGATATTTTAGGGGGAAATGGTAACAATAAATTAAAAAAAAAGATAAGGAAAAATGTGTAATTCTTAAAGTTGCGGTGGTGGCTCTAAGACCGACTTTGAGGAGACTTTTTTACAAAAATCCCTTTTTTACAAAATCCTTAATATATTTGCAGAGATAATTTTTATGATGGTAAAGTTTCAATAGGGTTAATAGCAAATTTTTCAATCTACTATGGTATTTTATTAAATCTACTTCATTATTTTTTTACTTCAAACTTGTTCTCCTATTATATTCGAGTTCCAAAACCTATCTTCTGTTACATTTCCCATTTGAAGACCGTTAATTAGGGTTGAATCTTGGTTTGACCAATTTGAAACTACTAAGTTTTCGTCAATAATATTTTATTCTAAACAAAATAATTGTAAAAACAAATTATCAAATGTTGAGAAGTTATTAAAAATTTAAGGTAAAATACACTTGTATATAGAGGTGGCAAATGGATTGGATTGGTGGATCCATGGATTAAATGGATTGGATCTAATGGATTGGTGGATTCATGGATTGGATCAAGTGGATTGGTGGATTATTCATGAATCCAAATGACATCCTCAACCAAGGACCAATATGTAAAATGTAAAAAGTTTAGGTACTAAATGTCATAATGAAAAATGTTAGGTACCAAAACGTAATTTTCCAATGATATTTTTCGTATAAAAATTAAATTTTATGTACCAAAATGTAAAAAATAAATATTATAGGTCCTAAACCGTAATTTGCCAATGATCCATGGATCCAATCCATGAATCCACCAATCCAATTGGATTTGGATAAAATGGATTGGATTTAAATGGATTGGATTTGGTGGATATTTTTAATGGATTGATGGATTGGATTGGTGGATTGGATTAAAATTGCCACTTCTACTTGTATAGACATAACTTTCACGTTTTTGAAAAATATAGTCATAACTATTAGAAACCACAAAATAGCCAATTCCGTCCATTTTGTTAACGGCGTAAGTTGACGATATGAATGGACTAACGGATGACGCTGAGTTGGCGATAGATTCGCCCAATCAAACGACGTGGATTAAAAAAATAAAAAAAAATTACAGAGCACTAATTCCCCACCACCACTGCAAATAAAAATAAATTAATTAAAAAAGAGAGAGAGTGCCATCATCCCCCACCCCTTTCTCAACACCCTTCTCGTAGCTCCCCGAGCTCCGGCGCCGCCTTATCACGCCATTCCATCCGCCACTCCATCCAGGTAAAAATCGGGTTGTCAGACATATTCACTCTTCCCTATCCAATTTCGCCGCCGCCATTGAAATCCCCAATTTCGATTGACCCAATTTTAGTCTCCAATTTCAATTTCCTCTTCAAATCTCCCCACTTGTCGAGTGAAGGAGAGGCGGATGCTGGGTTTCCAGATCCGCAAGTTAGCGAGGGAAAGGCAATAATTCCCCACCACCACGACGAGTTGATTTGGAGCTACGATCCGCTCGAATTGATGTAGTTGGAGTTCCTGGCGGAGGAGCTGCTATTCGTGCTAGTGAGCCCCGAATTCAAGGCGCCGACGAAAAAGATGAGGGAGGCGCTGCCACTGGAGTTTGGGATGTCGCATCGTGTGTGGAATTGTAGCCAGGCAGGAGCCACCGCCGTCGTCGGTCGCTTCGGCACCTCACAACCACACGAATCTCTCCCCTCCCCCAACCTCATCCATTTCCCTTCCAAACCCTTCTTCTTCTTCAAACTCTCTTCTGGAAGAAGAGCCTTCTCCTGCTTGTCCTCCTCCTCTCCATGTCATGAATCAATTGATCCCAATAACTTGAGTTGTTGGGAGAAGGTTATACTGGATATTATATCACTCTCTAACACTCCAAGGTGTTGATTCCAACTCTCTCCTGTGGCGGCCGGAATGGTGCAGGAGCTTTTTTCCGGTCGGTGGGAGATTCAAACAGCAGGGCAAATGGGAGATTCATCGGAGGAAAGTGCTTTCTTGCAAAAACCTCGGTGGCGATTGATTTTCATGGACAGGGAGATGGTATTGGTGGACGGGGAGATGGTGGTGGTGGCGAAGGACATGGATGGGGTGGCGATGAGATAGAGGGGAGGTATGGACGACGGGTTGTGGGTAGAAAGGGAGAAGCTCAATTTTTTTTATTTTATAATTTTTTTTAATTAGTGGAAAATTTGGTTTTTTATTTTAAAATTAATTATTTTAATAAATAAAAATAACGTGGCAATAATATGCTGACTGGTCGGTGAAGTGTGCGATGGTTTGGCATCCTAGTCACTCTAACGTTAATCTAATTGACGGAGTTTCTAACACCGTTAAAGTTTCTAATGGAAATGGCTAGATTTGTCACATGACCATCCAATTTTTAGGCTATTTTGTGTTTTCGGATAGTTATGACTATATTTGTCACAAACGTGAAAATTATGGCTATACAAGTGTATTTTGCCAAAATTTAATTGAAGTGAGAAAGTGTTGTAGATTATTATTGCATTCACCGTGCAGTGTGAATAGGTATTTTTCTTAAAACACCTATGCATGCTTAGTCTACACCTAAGCAAGATAAGCGCTAGACAAAATTTCAACGCACTCCTTACGCCTAGCGCCTTCTTGAACCTTGATCATATAACTAGAAAGAAAAATAGCCACTTTTCACGGGATTAAGATAAGAAGAAGAATGTATAGGCGGCGAATCGCCCGGCCGCACGCGTCCAAGAACGAAAGAGAGAGTGAGAGACGGTCAAACACTTGGTGCGTGGAAGGAGGAGAGCTATGCTTTCTGTGTCTTCCATAGTTGAGCTGCAGAGGAAGATTGAACGGACCGAGGGAGAGAGACTGAATTTTTTTTAATCGAAATAATTATTTCGCTTTGCTCTGCCCTTTTCATTTTTATGTCCCCTCTCTAACTTCGTTTTCATTTCCCTTGATGACGTCGACGCCAATTCAATCCCAGCAAACAAAAGCATCACCCCAAAATAGCAATAGAAAACTGATTAAGACACATGATAAACGAGCTCCCAAACACCAATCTAATTGCCAATTAAGGGTTAATGCCACGTTTGGTTACTGAGATTACTAAATCGTGTCATGTTTAGTCATTCAAAAAATTTAATATCAATTTTGGTCACTCGAATTATTGAAACATGTCACATTTAGTCACTCTCCCGTTAGTTTCCATTCAACTCAATTAATGGAGTTGGACGGAGGCTAACGGGAGAGTGAGTAAATGTGACCTGTTTCAGTAATTCGAGTGAATAAATGTGACATGTTCAGTAATTCGAGTGACCGGAGTTGGATGGTGGTTAACGGGAGAGTGACTGAATGTGACATGTTTCAGTAATTCGAGTGACCAAAATTGATATTAAATTTTTCAAGTGACTAAATATGACACAATTTAGTAATATCAGTGACCAAATGTGGCATTTAGCCTGCCAATTAATTTCCCAAATGATAGACCACTCCTCTTTTAATGCTCGACAAGTCCGCTAGCGGTGGAAATTAAGAAAAGAAAAAAAAATATAATCTACTGATCACTCAAATGCGGTTGGGGAGATGGATAGCAGATAGAACCAACCAATTGCAATCAATAGGTTCCCCTTTCCTCTGCTATAAAAGGGAATGTTGTTCTCCTTTTCATAATCATCCCTCTCTATTTCATTCCCTCCTTTCCTTTGTGCTTTGCTCCTGTTTGTATTTTTTTGTGGGTTTCGGTTGTGAAACGTTTTCACAACCATGGGTAGATAGGAGATTTCCTTGTGAGTGAAATAGTGAGGTTGTTTGGAAAACACTGTGTGTTCTATTTCTTGTATCCATAAAATCTTTGTAACTTACCATTGTTATAGTGAAGAAATACTCTAAAGCTGTTGTTCCCATGGACTGCCCTAAATCAAGGGTATACCACGTAAATCCTCGGTATCATTGCATTATTAAATTACATAAGTAAATTGATCTAAGTAAGTTGGTTACCGTAATTCTTGAGGCTCTGCCACCAGATCCAACTTTTTTTTGTCATAGATAGTTTGTAATAGATAGAGTGTTACAATGCATTGGAAATATAAAGGCGGTAGTCAACCAACTAGGTTGCTACCGATGCAAGGGCCGTTTGTGCCACGCGATGTGCAGCCCTGTTGGTATGCCTAGTAACATAAATAAACCAAAAAACGCAAAGAAAGTCTTCTTTCAGCAAACTCCTTCAAGCACCAATTCGTCGAGTTCCAACAGCCTAGCAGTAGATTTGATGTGCAAGGTACCTGCAAAATAACACCCAGACAACCCCTAACGGGCAAACAAAATTAAAATACAACCGGACCTCCACCGAAAATGCTTCACAAGCTATACAAACTATGCCTTCTGTAGCACAAAAACAAAAATGGCAAAGCCAACTAGTAGAAGAAATATACTCCATGTCCGATGACAACCAAATCCTCCCTATCATTAAAAGACATCGAATTACAAAACAATTGCAACTCCCATAAAAATACCAAACACAATCGTAAACATAATAATAATTAAATATGAATTGAAGAAAGAATTAATAGACTTATCTGAATGCAAGATAGGATCCGTGTTTGGAATTGTGACTGCCTATCCATTAGAATATTAACAGTCATGAAATTATAACCGTCCGAAGGTGGAGCGTTTTGAACAAGAATGAAGCCACGGGAGAGGTAACTGAACAAAGATGTAACTGCAGCCCACTAGCCTGGCCGATCGTCGGCAAGACTCGTCATCCGCTGGAAAGACTCATCGAAGATCCCAGCCCGCAACTCCTGCAAAAAGATAGGTAAAACTCACCGGAAAGGGTGTCAGAGATGGGGAAACGCCACGAGCAGCTATGCACAAGGGCGTTGGGCAGCAAATTGCTGGAGCGCACAATTGCGGAAAAGAGTGAAAATCGAAATCCGTCGAACTCGACCCTTCTATCGAGAATCATCGTGAGTGCGTGAACTTCTTATCTGACACGAGATTAGCGGAAGAACCTCCCCCAAAAGTGTAACTGTCATAGTTGTATCTGCTTCTTGAATTGTAACCGTCGGAGTTCGGCCAGCAGTATTGGTGCGCCTCCGAAACTGTAACGAAGCGGGTAGTTCCCAGGGGTCGAAAGTGTAGAGATCGACTTTGGCGATTATGGAGACCGGGGAGGATGGACGACGCCTTCTTCTTGAGATCACCATTGTGATTTCTTGTTTTCTGGGCATATCTTCCTCATTATGTAGTAGAAGTCTGACCGTCACGACGCTGACTTTGTTGTTGCGGTTACGATGATGTTTGACAGAAGGCAGTCACTCGACAGCGGCGGTGGCAGACAGGAGAAAGGCCGACGACGGCCGATGAGGAAATCCCGGTCTGCTGGCGGTGCTGGAACATGTTGCCTGCGATGATGTTGGTGACAGCCGCACCGGAACTCTCACAACTGCAATGTGATTTGGCCCTTTGAAAGTTTGGATAATTTTGGGTGGACGGTTTTCTGGCGATCGCCGGTGACGGTGGAAGAAGAGAACCGTGTGTCTCCAAGAGTTCTGCCACCAGATCCAACTTACCTGTAACCTTTTTACAAGTGTGTGATTTATTAGTACAATATATTTACCCACTATTCTCACCGTTGCCCCCAACACACTACAACAGAACAGGCCTTTAGCGACGGTTTTTTGATAGTTAGTGACGGTCGCCACCGTCGCTAATACTTTTACCGACGGACATGTGAACGTCACGGACTCAGCATTCCTTAAATTTTTTTCCTATGGTTTTGGTCGACCGTCGCACTAAAGGTCACTATATTTTCGCCACGGCTGAAACTGTCGTTATTCAAAATCAAAACGTCATTAAATGAATTAGTTGAAATATAAATCAACGCATTTAGCAACGACAAAACCGTCGCCAAAAGTAAACCAACCGCCGCTAAATTATCTGACCCTTTTTCTGAAGAAACTTGTTCTGATAATTGCTTCTTGCTTGCTGTGATTCCCAAATATCATTATTTAATAGTTTTAACTACAAACTCAATCTGATTTTGAAAGCCTTTATATTGAATCTCCAAATTTGAGAATAAAACCATCATTTCTCAACCAAAAAAAAAAAAAAAACTCACAATCAGCATTCTACTGCCAAATCAACATTCTAAAGTTTATACACCCATTCAACCCACTACAAAAGCTCAAAACTCCCACTTACAGTCCCTCCTTGCTCCTTATACCACCAAATTCAGTCAGAACCCTTTGAAGCAACAAAGATCAACTTTCCTTCATTAACTTCCAGCCCTGCAGAAACATCCATTCAAAACTTCGGAGGATTAACCATAATTACAAGGCATCAGCAGGCCAAACAATATTAATCATAATTACCGGGGGGGAAAAACCATCAATCATAAAATGGAAAAATCTCAATCAACATCTTCGCACCCCAGAACCCCCTGCTTTTATATTCATGGTTCACCAACTACCAAACTGGAAAATGGGAAGAATCTAGTTTTAGCCTTGTGATCATAGGGTAGCTATCTGAGGCTTAACTTCAATGATAGCAGGGTAAATAACAAGAAAACTTACCAGTCATTTTCCCCCCTTGATGTTGCAAGTGAACCAGCTCACCAAACTAATTGTCTGCAACCTGGAAATTGAGAAATGGGAAGATAATCAGGCGAAGGTTTAAAGTTAAACATTACAATAGCTTTAAAACGAGTCGTGGAAACACCTGTTTCTTCCATATTTTGGACATGGAACAATATGTTACTGCTGAAACTTGGAAGTAGTGGCCTGGCCACCAACACAACTTCTATATTTATGAAGGCTATTGTGAAAAATCAAACAAATTTATACCTTTTTATCTAGCAGATCAACTTCCTTATCTAAATGGCAGCCGCTAATTCATACAAAAGCCCAGCAAACCTGTAAAATGAAAAAGTTTATGAATGAGATTAATATAATTATAATTATGTAGAAGAAATACTTCCAGAGTGTAGTATGTATTGAGGCTTCTTTGAACACCCTTCATGGCTGTTGCCAAAATCAAAAGTAATCTGATTCATAGTTAGTGCTAATCCATGAAGTTTAACTCACTTAATCACCCTTCTGTTGTTTAACTCACTCACCTTCACAAAAAGGTCCACTTTTGCTTCAGGGAATAT